CTAAAAAAAAAAAAAAAAAAAAGCAAACAGTATAAAAGTTGTTTTATCTTTTATGAAAATCCATAAATAAGTTCAATGATTATCTAAACCAGGGGTCCTCAAACTACGGCCCGCGGGCTACATGCAAATACAAATATTGTATTTGTTCCCGTTTTGTTTTTTTACTTCAAAATAAGACATGTGCAGTGTGCATAGGAATTTGTTCATAGTTTTTTTTTTAAACTATAGTCCGGCCCTCCAACGGTCTGAGGGACAGTGAACTGGCCCCGTTTAAAAAGTTTGAGGACCCCTGATCTAAACTAATAATAGAGAAATATGCAAATTAGCTGGGATGCCGTAACATCACAACCAAACAGCAGGGACCTGCATGGCGCCTGTCCGGGGCGAGGGACCTCAGGCCACATTCCCCTGCCCAGGCGCTGGGCGGAAAACCTCAGGCCATGCCCCCCCCCCGCCCAAGCGCTGGGCTGGGAGACCTCAGGCCGCCTCCCACTCAGGTGCTGGGCCAGGAGACCTCAGGCCACATCCTCCGCCCAGGCGCTGGACCAGGAGACCTCAGGCTGCGCTTCTGCCCAGGTGCTGGGCCAGGAGACCTCAGGCTGCGCTTCTGCCCAGGTGCTGGGCCAGGAGAACTCAGGCCGTACCTCCCCCCAGGCGCTGGACCGGAGACCTCAGGTCTCACCCTTGCCCAGGCGATGGGCCGGGAGACCTCAGGCCGCTCCCCCTACCCCAGTGCTGGGCCCAGGGACCCGAGGCTGTGTCCCTGCCAGAGGGGCTTGACGGAGGTGGGGCCGGCTGGGTCTGGGTCTCACCCAATGGGGGTGGGGCCGGCCAGGTCTGGGTCTCCTGTGTTTTCGATGCGCTTGTGGGTGGTGTGTGGGGACTTCACTCTGGGTCCCTCAGTGTGCCCCAGACTCTGACAGGAGGTAGATTTTCATATACATTTTACTAATTTTCTTTCATCTCTGATACTTCTTTTATAGAGAAAGGGAAAATAGCAATATTAAAATATTTCCTCTAATTAATTCCCTTTTAATGTGCAGAATTTTGTGCACCAGGCCACTAGTTTTTTCATAATTGGCTTGTTGCATCAAACTGTTGATCTTATTTTTATTATATAAACCTGGTATAACAAAAATAATTCTCTAGAAAAATGGCATAGCCATATCCAAATAATGCTATCATTTATTTACAGAAAGTATTCTTTTTATAAACTTTTACTTCTCAGACCAGTTGCTAAAAGCTAGGAGTTAGGAGACCTAAAGCCCAGTGTTGGTTCCACTAACAACTTGTGTCACTGCAACAAGTCACAATCCACCTGTACCTCCACCATCTGCAATGCAAGAGTATAGTAATCATTCATTCAAACTATATTTACTAAGGCTGTCTTTACACATACTGTACTACTACTGTACTGTATTGTGAATATAAGTGAAAAAAAATACAGTCTGTGCCCTAACAAATCTATAATCTAGTGTTTTATTTAGGTGAGAAAAAAATTAGAAGAGAAATGTTAAGGTTTTAAATATATACATCATGTAGTAGCTGTCACTGTTTGCATACTATGTGTTAAAGGTTTTTCTATATATTATTTTTATTCTTAATCACAACATATATTATTCTCACTTAACATTGAATTCGTTAATTAAAGTGAATTGGTTATTTCACGACTGAAGTCCAAAGCCTGAGTTCCCAATCATCCTTGCACTGTGAACTGGCCCACTTGCTGGGGCCTGAACTACTCATTTCCTTACCAAACACCGAGTGCTGCAGTTCTTAAATGAAATATGTAATGATTATAAATTTTCAGAAAGCCTAGGAAACAATTTCCACGGTCATCAATACTTTCCGTTGCATTCAGGAACAGTTTTCAGACTCATTAGAATAAACTATGTAGTATTTGCTATTTAAAATATTTAAACATAATTGGTATATTACAGTGTGTCACAGTGGCCTTAAGATTCTCCTAAAAATGTGTTTAAACTTTTGAGTTTTAGTTGAAAGGTATTTTTAAATATTATTAAGCCTGCAAAAGTATGTAAAGGTTTCAGAAAACTTAAAAATTCACTATATGTTTAATTTACTATATTTTAAGAGTTAAGAACTTGGGAGCTTGTTTAGTCAAGCATTTAAAGTGCTGTTTAAAAGAAAAGAAAATATATTAAATGTATAAATGATGTTAAGTTGTTTAAAAGAACTGGAGTTGCAAATGGGACTGTTTAAAAAACTTAGTCTGTTCAACTTAAATGAATCTTACCAAACATTAAAGGCCCTCTAGAAAGTGATTATTAGAATGTACTTGATTTCTAAATGCAATATTTTTTTTTAAATATATTTTATTGATTTTTTACAGAGAGGAAAGGCGAGAGATAGAGAGCTAGAAATATCGATGAGAGAGAAACATCGATCAGCTGCCTCCCGCACATCTCCTACTGGGGATGTGCCCGCAACCCAGGTACATGCCCTTGACCGGAATCGAACCTGGGACCTTTCAGTCCGCAGGCCGACGCTCTATCCACTGAGCCAAACCGGTTTCGGCCTAAATGCAATATTTTTACGTTAAACTTAAAAGCTTAAGGGAAGTTAAGATTTAAATACGTAACTTTAGT